AAGAGATGGAGAGATGGCTCAGTAGTTAAGAGCACTGGCTGCTCTTCTAGAGGACCTGGGTTCAGTTCCAAGTACCCATATGGCACTAACCATCTGTAATTCCAGTTCCAGGGGATCAGACTCCCTCCTCTGGCCCCTATGCATTGTAAAACATGGGTGCACTTACATGCATGCAGACAAAGCACTCATAAACATAAAATAAAAATTAGTAAATGATTTTTTTTTAAAGTTAGAAATTTGGGAACCAAACTTTTATTTTGGTTGTTACCCTGAGTCATTAATGGCCGAACTACCCTCCAGCCCCTATGGAAAAATTATATATACAACATCTCTGTATGAGTCAGTGAGTATAGCTGAAGGCTATATAACAAGAAACAGTGCCAGACAGGAGAAACGTTCCCTTGAGTGAGTATAGCTGAAGGCTATATAACAAGAAACAGTGCCAGACAGGAGAAACGTTCCCTTGAGTTGTTGGGTAGGGTAGTCCAAGAGACTCCCAAAATTACATAGGATATTGCCACAGTCCTTGATTGCCTCCCAGAACATGATGGTGAGACTTTATTGCTGAAGACAGGATATACTTTGGACACAGGATTTGGAGCAGTGGAGCTGGAACTGACCTGGAAGCCACCTCCCCTGAAGGCTATCTCCCATAGCTTTGGAGAACACTAGCTGCTAAGGGAGAACATCAATCAATGGTCCAACTCCAGCTTCAAGGCCTAAAAACACATCAATGACCAGCACAGAAAAAAATATTGGTGCAGTAGTGGCACTTTTATCTTGGGCGTAAGGGACTTTTATCTTCGGGGATAATCAACAGCTACCTAATTGAACTTAAAGCCCACTCAATGGGAGGAAACTCATGTGTGGTGCCAAATACTCATAGCTGAAGAGGTCATAGATCTTAGAGAAAACTCCAAGGCTGTCACATCCCTAGACAAATGTAATTTCTTACTATATGCAAAATATGGATCCTTAAATCTATAGACAAGTGTCCCAGTCACCACCCATCAAAGAAGCTTCTTTTTCAAGAGAGAGATAATTACAGAATTCCACAACTGGTCACACACAGAGATTGTCTGTGAACTGCCCAAGCCTAAGTGGCATGTTTAGGATGCAACCTCTACACCTAAAGGTCATGGAACATAGAACAAGGGGTGAAGAGAACACTAAGGCATCTTTCAATTCTCATCAATGAAGCGTCTTCATGCAACAGAGGGCCAGGAACACAAAAGGTCACAAATGGCCAAAATGCAGAGAATAAGAGTCTGCAGAGTGTGGGTCCTTGGACAAGACTCTTATATTAAAATCCACTCACCCAGGGTTCAGGGACCATTGTGGAAGAGGGAGTAGAAAGGTTGTAAGAGCCAGGGAGAAAGTACATGACTATATGGAAATAGTCCGACAGGCTCCTGGACTCTTCTCATATGAATCTACACTAATGGTGTCAGCATGCACAAGACCCATGCAAACATAAGCAGACAAAAACCCAGCACACAACTGTGGAAATGAACAGGAGGCCCCAATCTTAGCCAAAAAATTATTGGCAGCTGATTACTGCTGGTTGAGGAGGAGCTGATCTTCTTAAAGAGAGGTTCTCTAAATAGGCTGATTAGATCCCAGCGGATGAATTTGCACTGAGGGACATCTGACACCATTAACTTCGCATGCTAGGCCTTAACACAAATGTATGAACTCCAGATTGTGAGGGTAAGGAGAGGGTGCCAAAGGAGGTAAGGGAGTACAAAGATGATTTTCTGTATGAAATAAACAAAAATTCAACAAAATTTTTTTTTTAATTAGAAAGTTTTCTGAGTTGAAGGCACTGTTCAGAGTGCTTTAAGGCCTACACACTCAATGCCACTAATCTGATGAAGTAGTACATTTACTAATTTCATTTAATTCATGAGAAAACTAAGTTGAAGATATCTTCTTAGGGGCTGGAGAGATGGTTCAGTGGTTGGGAGCACTGGCTACTCTTGCAGAGGACCCTAGTTCAAATCCCCACAACCACATGGCAGCTAACAACTGTCTGCAACTCCAGTTCCAGGGGATCAGATATCCTCTTCAGGCCTTAGTGGGCATTGCATGACACAGGTGCACTTACGTTCATGCAGGCAATACACACACATATATATGTATATACACTCATATATATTATATATATATAAATAATAAGAATTTTTAAAAATGAATATTAAAGTAGCTGGGTTCAATTCCCAGCACCCACATGGTGATAACAACCATCTGTAACTCAGTTCCAAGGACTCTGACCCCTTCTTCTGACCTCTGCAGGTATTATATGATACGGGTGCACTTACCTACATGCAGGTAATACACACATACACATAAAATAATAAATACTTTAAAAAGTAAAATAAAAATAAAAATAAGGTATATTCTTAGTCAGGCCTGGCAGCACATGCCTTTAATCTCATCACTGGAGAGACAGAAGTAGGCAGATCTCTATGACATGTTCTACATAGTGAGTTCCAGGCCAGCTGGGGCTACAGAGAGCTACAGGGGCTACAGGGAGACCCTGTCTCAAAAAGACTAGTGAATTTAATTGAATTCGCAAAAATTCAATTAAACATATAGTATATTTTAGATTATTTTATAAATGTTTTATTTTTTGAGAATTTCATAAATGACTTCTCTGCCTCTTTGATTATGATACATATATAGCACTGAGTCATTTTATTAGTGTTCCTGTGTGCATGTGTTTAGGTCTACTTACTTCAGATTAGATAATCTCTCAGGGAACTGATTCCTGAGGAAAAATGATTCTCCCTCTCTCAGCATTCATTGATTGCCTGTAGCTCTTCACCTAGATGTGGGAACTTGTGTCATTTCCCCATCCACATTGGCATGTGTTCTGGATAGCTTTAGTTGTCTACTTGACACACCTGGGTTGAGGGAGCCTCAGTTGGGGTATTACGTCCATTGGACTGGCCTGTGGCCATGTCTGTGGGGTGTTTGCTTGATTGTTGAGTGATGTGGGAGGGCCCAGCCCTCTGTGGACAATGCCACCCCTGGACAGGTTGCTCTGAATTATGTAAGAAAGCAGGCTGAACGTGGGCCAAGGGAGCAAGCCAGAAAGCAGTGTTCCTCCGTGGCCTGTGCTTTTCAGCTCCTGCCTCCAGGCTCCTGCTCTGAGTTCCTACCTTGGGCCTGTGACCCAGGAGATGTAAGTCAAATAAACCCTTTCCTCTCCAAGTTGGTATTGATCAGAGTGTTTTGTTGTGGCCATTGAAGGCAAACTAGAACAGCATGTGAACTGGAGTTGTCATTATGCATGTCTTGTTTTGGTATTCATATTATGGAGAGTTTTGGGTACAGCTTCCCTATCATGTCTTGAATGTGTTTTCTAGCATCAGGCATGCTGCTCCTCTGCTCTTATGGCTTTATCTTTTAAAATGCTGCTTCAATCTAGTTGCTTGTGATGGATCTATTTAATTTTTTTAAACCTTTTCTTGGTTTCATTTGAATATTCTCTGTGATGTTCAATATACATTATTTAGATATGAAATTTGTGTTTTGGCTTTCCTAAACTTATATTTCTTCCTAAAGTGCTTTTTTACTTTTTTAATTGAATTTTTGCAAATTTCATACACTCTGTTTTGAGCATATTTAGATTCCCCACCCATAAGAAAGATATATCTTTTAAAAAATAATTGGGCCGGGGTATAGCTCAGCAGCAGATGAGGAGCATGGTCCTGTATTCAATTTCTCACACCAAAACTCAAAAGTTTTTTAAAAATTAGTTTTTTAAATATTATTTTAAAGAATGTCTGAAAGTAGAACAATCATTCTTTCATAGCTAATTTGGTGACATAATTGTTAGGAAAGCAGCTACGATTTATGGAGGGTTAGGCATTGTCGGGGGCACTTGCAAGTGGTATTTTATTCTCATAGTATCTCTGAATGGTGAATTCTGCCATAATCATTTAATAGGTGAGGAAGCTGAGGCACATACCTGTCATATGGGAAGAATAGCATGCTGGGAGTCACACCTGTGCACCCCTATGTGGCTGATCAGAGTAACAGTTCCCCCATGCCCCTGGTACTAATTTCAGTACTAAATATTGAATTCAGAGCCTCCCACAAACTAGATAATCCATCATTTATCTGAATAAGATGAATTGCAGATGTTTCTTGTATCCCATAAACTGTGTGTAAAAACAAGGATGCCAACTATAATTCTTTTTATTTTGCATGTATGAGTGTTATGCCTGTATGTAAGTACACCTGTGTCCTGTAATGCCTGCAGAGGACAGGGAGAACTGGTGTTACTGATGGTTATTAGCTGCCATGTGGGTACTGGGATTTGAACCCAAGTCCTCTGCAAGAGCAACAAGTGCTCTTAACTGCTGAGCCATCTCTCCAGCCCAGCCAATTATAATTCTTTATGGATGAATAATTCAAGTATTTTTCCAGCTTTTAGAACTAAAACCCCACAAATATCATTCAAATGCACATCTTACTACTGGGATTAAAGAAATGCTCAAGCTGTCTTGAAAGCTATTATAATTTTAAAGAATGTCCTTTTGTATTTTTATAATCTCTCTCATACACATACACACATATGTATACACTACACCCAAAGAATAATTTCTTTTACCTTAAAATCATCATTAGAGCTAAAAGCTCAAAAGAGAATTTAATGGAATAAAAACAAACACATAATGAGTTTATTTAACTCAGTGAATATTGACATTTTATTTCCATATTATTTTTTATTTTGTCATCAGGCATAATGGAAGACCATTCAGAATTTTCAAAAATATTCACTGTATAAGACTTTCACTTTAGGAGAGATATCTATTGCATTTAGTTTATTTACTTAAAGGCTTTGGGGCCCTTCCTATGATGGTTATAAAATATAAATTCACACACATCCTTAATGATGGCATATTAATAGTGCAAGCAACATTTTAAAGCTTGACACTTCCCTGCATGTAATTATTCAAATTTTCCCCATACACAGACACCACACCTTGTTGTCAATAAATAATTCCACTTTAATGGCAAAGTAATAATTTAGACAGATACAGGGTGCACATTTGCAAAAAAATATATGCAAGCTGGCTTACAAGCTAGAGGAACAATAAACCAATAGAAAATACATCATCCAGTTAAGTCCATTGACACCAAGTACTTATTGTTGGGGCTTTACAAAGACTACAAAACTTTTCAGATGATTTCTTTCACTGTTTCTGCCTATTTACATGGTATGTTACATCAAAAATGTACAAAATATAAAATGTATACAGACAAATGTTTCACAAACTAGTTTAAGGTGTAAACTAGGTGTACCTACTGGGATGTATTGCAGGAAGTTCTGTTTATGTTCATGTGTGGACTGTGTTTCTCAAAATGGCAGGGAAAGATTAGCAATTTCCTTAGATCACATATCATACAAGGGCAACTAGTCACTCATCCAGCTAAATATATTGATGTTGCACAACAGATTTAATCCATGTTTGAGGCTCCAAAGTCAGAGTGACACTTCTATGTCCATAAATAAATTCAGTTCAGACTTCCCTCGGGGCAATAGCACCGTGTAAAAACCTATAGACTTGGTGACACTCTGAAAACTACACAGATATCTTGTGTTGTTAAGTTTGTTCTACGGCAACTGACCCACGGGTGGTCACAGAGGGTAGCACCGATGACATGTCCTAAAAGGTGCATATTTTCACAGGCGTAGAGCTAGGTCTACACCATGGTCTAGACCTTAGGTTTCATAAACTTCAAACCATTCTCTGTGGGTGGTAGTCACTTCTCCAATGCCTGATTAGTTTTCATGCACTCTCTTTAAAGCCTGCCACAACAAATGTACTTTCAGACAGTTTCACGTATCCAAAGATGTACTGGCTTCATGTACAGTTTGGAAGCATGCCCACTTCTGCTGATAGCTCCTGTATAGTCATGACAACTGTAGGTACAGGACAAACACACCAGATAATAACAGCTTTGAGGATCTGCATTCTGTATTTGTTTGCAACGTAGAGGAAATCTCAGCAAGTGAAACACCTCTTAACACCAAGAAGATAAAATACAATTTTGTTTGTGTTTGTTTTGATTTTGTGCAAGTTTGAAAAAATTATTTACAATACCTACCCAGTAGACTGTGCAAATCTAACCTTTTACAGTATAAGTGCTTCCTCTTCCACAGTGACTTACTGCATCATTGCTCCTTAATGCTGAATTTCTCATGTACAACAATAGCAATCAAAACAACATGCATCAAAACTAATTGTTTCCTTTGAAAGATTAAAGAATAGGGAAGGAAAAGCCAAATAGTTGTGCTCATGCCGAATCCAGGGCGTCCAGCTCAGCTGGACCTGAATTCAAAATCTCCACCTTCTGAAACGCTGGATGGAATTTAGCCACATGTCTCTTAAGTGACGGTCAAAGAAGTGTTCTGGGGTTCTCGAATCATTTGTAGGATAGGCAAGAAATCTGTGTATTCATAAGATAAAAATACTGATCTTTCTCCTATCCATTTCTCCAAGAAAAAGAAAAAAAGAAAAGAATATATAGAAGAAATGAGGCTACTGTGTTAACTGGTGTGTTCCTTGGCTGTAAATGAAAGACAGTGGAAATTACCAATGGTTTAGGATTGAAACCAACTGTTAAACTGTTGTAGAAATCTGTTTTAAGGCAGTGAGACAGCACCATAGGAAATGTTCCTTCTTTCACTGAAAAGGCTCAAACAAATAAAGCCCTAAAAAAGCCTTTTGTCAGTGTTGACTAATAATTGGTATAAAACTCTTGTTCAGGGAGTGTGCAGGTGGTTTGAAAAGACCACTGGGGTAAAAACAACCTTATAAAACCCATGACTCAAACACTAAAAAGTTGGTGGCGCATTTCACAAGAGCATGGCAGTTGGAAGGACGCTGCCCACCCCCCTCCCCACCCCCCAGTTTGCCACAGTAGTGTTTTCCTGGTGGTTGCACAATTCCATTTGTGCTTATGGAGGACTAGCCTCTTGGATTCATTCTGGAATGGGGCGAGCGCACAACGCAAACACTACTGGAGCCCTGTCACCAGCACCATGTGGCACAAAGGAGGTCGTAAGGATCAGAAGAATGGACTCTGTCTGAGGGGGCAGCCCCTCAGAGGGAACAAAAGATAAGGGACAAATAAAGGCCTGCGTTGTAAACTTTGAAAGAGGAAGAAAATAAAGTCCAGTTTCCCTATCCCATGTGCAATCTACTCAGTTGCCCTGCTGTGAGGGTCCTTTCCAGTTGAGTAATGGAGACATCTCTAACTCCATGGATATAAAAATGCCTAAAAATAAAATAAAATTAAGCTCCCATTTCAATTTAGCATCTTGGCAGTTCCGACTTAGTTCTCCTTGTAGACCAAGACACTGGGTCAGGGCCCTGGACAGGGGACTTTCATACTGGCAGTGGTTTAGTGAAAATACCTGTCTTAAAACACTTTTGTAAAACATCGTCTTTCCCCTCAACACTTTTCACCCTCTAGAGGGTGGATTCGAGAGAAGAATCCAAAATATCTTCATGGTGGCTGGTGCCACCACTGTCGCAGCTTTGCGTGCCCGAGTAATTGGCTGCTTCTTGAAGTTTCATTAGCATATTCATCTGCAGAAAGAAAAAAGAGACATCCATGTAGGCAATGATGCATCTCGAGAGTCAGCCAGCCCCAGAACAAAGAACTGTCCCCTCTCCACTCATCCGAATGAAATGCACACAACCGTTTTGGATTTTCCCTTGCTGCCCTGGCACCTAAACTGTCTCTCCCAAACATGACTATAGCCCCAAACCATAAGGTCAAAATAGGGCTGCAAGATAACTCTTTTATTTGGTGCTGTGAATGACTGCTGCTTCAGCAGGGAAACTAGGAAGGAACTCTATCACAGCTGGACATCTGGATCCCTTGCTGGAGAGCACGCCAAGTTTCCCAGCTTTTTGGCTAGAAGACATAGAGAGCACTGAATGGCAAGCGAAAGTCTGAATGTTCGCGCACATACAGACACAGAAACAGGCGCGCGGGTGCGGTCCCTTGAGAGAAGCGGGGGGGGGGGGGACCCAAGTGGAATAAAGCAAGCTGCCGCACACAGCATACCATCTGCTGTTTAGGAGCTGACCTCGAGAAGAGGTGACTGGAGGAAGCAGACCATGAGCTTCTGAAGAGGGGGAAGGAAAGAATCACTGTCAAGTGTTTGTTGTCACTGAGTTTCTGGCTGAAATATGATTGCTACATCACTGAGAGCAAAAACCACCTTCTGGAACAATAGCGGCTGTCTCCAGCTTCTCAGCTTCATAGGACTATGGGAGCGTTCGTTCCAGTAGAGAGGTCTTGTGCATGAGAGCACCTAGGGAGAAAGGCAGCTCTCCTCTGTATTCTAAAATAAAAGTCTTGGATTTCAATAGATCTGCAGTTTTGCTGTTAGAAATACAAACTAGGAAAAAATTGTTTAAAAGCAACCCATGACTTAATCGATGGCCCAACAATTTCAGAAAAAACAGAAAACTGATGGCTATCTTCAGGAGGATTGCGGACTTGCTTTCTTACTGGGAATTTCTTTACATCACAATAAACTTTATATTCTTTAATGCTTACTACTAATTATAGTATTTGATGCAGTAATCAAAGCTGCCCTTTATCTTCCAACTCAGAGAAAAAGAGGAGAAATCTAAAACAGAATTTCTTGGTCACACATTATGCTATGCATATTTGTACGTCAGAATAAAATATGTGTTCAACAAATGTTTGCGAGATAAATGATGAACTAGTAATCATCAAAGAATGCCCTTTCTATAGTTGTAGAGCATTTTAAAATCATTTGGTAATTTTCAGGCCGATAGTTTTAAATTTCATTTCAGCCCAACTCCCTGGATGTATTAAATAAACAACCCACACAGGATATGAAATGAAAGTACTTGCAGATAACTTGAAATCAGTAAACCAAAAGTCAAATCCCCCCTCCCCCATACACACTTTCATACATATTCAGATACCCTGTCCTTTTCTTTGTCAGTCTGTCTCTTTTTATTTAAGTATTTGGGTGAGCTGATTTATAAAAGAGAACTGTGTTTAAGCACCTTCATGATTTACTAAGAGCAAAAATAGCACATGAGATTGTTTAAAGGTATATAAACACACCTCAGTCACAATTACCTGAAACTACTTGAATGCTAAATGTAGTTTACAGTTTTATGTTATAATAGCTGTATTAAAGTAATGATTTTTGAAAATGCTGTCATAAAGTAGGTTCCATTAGCATAACTTCCCATTCTCAAATTTGTAATAAATATATACAAGCTTTATTCTGCCTTTGACAGTGTTGCCTTATACATTAAAGTCAAATGACAGAACAAGACCAGTTTATATATAACTAAGTTATTGTGATAAATCATGATCCTCTATAAAAGCATTTGCCCCTCTCTTTTCCCCTGCCATCATCCCTGTACTCATGATCCTAGGGTAATACCTATCACTTTAACACATTCCTCAGTTTTGACTCACACAGGAGCCGACTGCCCTACCAGTTTCCCTACTTCCATGCTCTGTTCTCTGTTCTGTTACTAAAATGATCTTCAGAACCTGAAAATATAAATAGATAAGTTCTGGTCAAAGCCTTCACTAGCTCAATGTCTGAATGATAAAGTTTTAACTACCTGTAAAGATAAACAAGGCTCAATATGATTGAGCAATTGTACATGTCTACAGCTTTAATTATTCCCACCAACTGATACATGGCTCCCTAACACTTAAATCTCACTGCACTGCTCTGTAATGTTCTGTGTGATATTTCCTTGATTGCAGAGGGTTTCCATCCAATATGATAAACTCTTATTCATGTCTCAAAACCCAGCTCAACCATCTCATCTGTGAAGTTTCCTAATGGACTCACAACTTTGCCTACCAAGTATCCAGATCATTATTTTGCCTCAGTTTATGCAGATAGATGTCTTGCTTCATTACTAGACTGTGTGCTTTTTAATATTATAAATGATAACCCATACCATGATTAGTAGATCTTAGCACCAAGCACACATGTAGTAACATTAAACTTGATGATGATAAACACACATCTTATTTTTAAAGTATTGATCAATATATCAAAAGCATGCATTCTTGTTCAGATTTAAAATCAGATTTCTGATAATACTAATTTCCCACTAGGATTTCTGATTTATATTACGCTGCAAATACATTTTTGCTTTACATCAGTAATTATAAGAATACACAGATACAAAGACAGAGGCAGAATATGTTTCTTTTCCCCAACAAGATATGTATGATTCAAGGATTTATTTTTGGATGTTATCTTCCGTTACTGAGTATGTGAAGTATCATAATCCCTTTTTTTAAGGTGCTTATTAGAGTACTATAAAAATACAAAGTAGATACATAAAAAGTAGTCTTTATTTCTAACCATAATATGTGCCTAATATTTTCAGAATAGTCATAACTTGGAGTTTCATAGACTTATTCAAATTATTATAGTATTTTAAAAACTAAATTATATGCACTTATACATTGAATAGAGCAGGAAGAGTAACGTCCTTTTGATTGAGACAATGATTTATCCTTCCCAACTATAAGCAACAGAAGACTGACTGTACAATTAATTAGGCTAGTTGATCTGTATAAAATATTTCTTAGTTCTCTAAGTATATATTAAATGATACTCTTATTTGGGTGCAAAATTCAGTTTTCTCTTGGTTACCTAGAGAATTGTCACAATATATAAAATACTGGCTATTTATTTAAATGTAAGTACAATTAACATAGAATCACAGAAAAAATATAGTCATGGAGTTCAACCTGGTTCTAGAGTTTCTTACTTGTTTTAAGACACACAAGTTCGGCTTGATTTTTAAGAATTTCATTCAGTGAAACTAGGCTAAAGGTAACAGAGGTGGAAATGATTATAATCAAGGTAGTTCCAAATATGACCTACAATAACTGGTCATTGATACAGACAGCTAACTGCTACACACTACCCACAGATGTAATCATAACACAGGAAGAACCAAACATCCTTCTCACCAAGGGGTCTCCTTCTGTGTCAGTCTGTGGTATGTGCTTGGATGTTGTGGCTTCCTTTGTAGATGTGCAGCCCTCATACCCAACATCTTCTGGTCGCAACTGAAGTAATGCTGGGCCCTCCTGAGGCAGGGATGCAGAACTCCATGGGTATGTGTCAAGCACCCACTTTGAAGGATCTTCCCATGGTGCACGTTTTCCATACATCTAAAAGTTGACCACAAACAAAATTCACTTCTATTTTTTTAAAGTTAAGTGGTAAATTCTATGTTGTGTGGATTGTTCCACAATTCAAAAAATGTGCAGAAAAATTAAGATTCTATATATTCAACCAAATGCAGAGGGATTCATAAAAAAACAAATTTAAAAACAAGTCAAAAATCGTTTTCTTTTTAACAATTTGTGAATGCCACTCGATAAACATTTTGTTCAGGTACTGAAACATATTAATTGGAGCCTTCGACATTCAGCAGTCAAATGCTGGAATTCAACAATTTTCCTCTTGGTTGTTTTTCCTGGGTTCTCATTCCCTAAACCCAACTTGCCTGGGGAATGTGCTATCTTATAGAAAATTAATGTGTTTTCAAATTGAGATATTAAAAAGTACAGCCATGGGGCAGAAGGCCAAAGTAGGGTGAGATGCTATTATCTTAGGGATAAAGTATGCTTCTACTTTTAAAAAATATTTTATTTACTATTTTTATGTGTATGAGTGTGTTTCCTGCATGTATGTAAGTGCACCTGTGTCATGCAATGCCTGAAGAGGTCAGAAGAGGGCATTGAATTCCCTGAAACTGCAGTTAATCAAACCTGGTTTCTCTGCAAAAGCAGCCAGTGCTGTTAACCACTGAGTCATCTCTCCAGTCCCAATTCACATCTATTAAGTGAAAAGTGTGACTACTAATTAATCAGATGGCTTTTTATTATATTGAATTTCTGTGTAACTTTTAAGGGAATTTTGTAGATTTTAAGCATATAT